GAGCTTTCAGCTTCGTAGGCTGACTGGTGCTTGGTACTCCGCTGTTTGGAATCTTGAGTTGTGGTCGGAAAAAAAAAATGGATGTAATCTTTGAGAGAGAACGGGGCTATGGGCGAAGACTAGAACGCACGACGTTTGCAAAGTGCTTTGCAGAAGGTAGGCGTGGGAGCGACAGTGGCTTGGGAGCCCCTGTCCCCCCACCCCGCTCCCACCATAGTTTGTTTTTCTGGTTGGTGCCATCCCCCTGTACGCCCGTAGTCGTACTGTAAATATTTGTTGAGCATACACTGTAGGCTGAAAGTGTGTACCTATTTATTCATTCAATATTTGCTGACGGCATTCTTCCGTCTTGACAACTAAAAAGAACGAAGTGCCTGCTTAGCCTGCGTCTTGCACAGACCACGGGGTTCGAACCCATGAGCCTCAGACGCCAGGCATTCGTGCAGTTAGTTCCTCGTGGGGAGTAGAAGCAGGAATCAGAGTTAAAGGTTATTCTTGGCTATAGAGTATAGTGAGTTCCAGGCCAGCTTGAGCTACAAGAAACCGCGGGTCGGGGAGGGTCAAGAAAGTGATTCATTTCCAAGACGCTACCTGAATGGTAGTCCCTCTCTGAAAAAGACCTTTCCCTCACCAGGAATAGGCCGTTTGCCCTTGGACTTGAGACTCCAGGTTGCCCCTGTTACTTACCTGGCCCCGCTATAGCTCACTCTGACCCTTTCCACAGGGAGCCTTGCAGGCTGAGTCTGGCAGGCAGAGCACACCCACTGCCACCCTTGACCACCGACCGAAGTGAAGATCCTGGTGGTACTGGCCCGCGGTGGAAATGCAGGCGCTCCACCTTCAGCACCGCAGCCCCAGCGGCTACAGGGTCAAGGCCAGGGCGTCCTATGTGGATGAGACCCTGTTTGGCAGCCCTACCGGAACCCGGCCCGCTCCACCAGACTTTGACCCACCCTGGGTGCCGAACTGTAACAGATCCAGAGGAGTGGGCCCAGGAACACCCAAGGTCTCTCTGGTCAAGAGAGACAGTGAGTCTACCCCCTCCAGGGGCAGCACCCCAAACCTCACACCACGGAAGAAAAACAAATACAGGTAACAGGGTGGGGGTACATTAAGGTGGCTGACTTGGTCTCTCTATTATTATTATTATACACTCGGCAGAAAAACAGTCCAGAGGGGGTTTAGTCTGGCGGGTGGTTTGGGATGCATGCTGTTATAAGAAGTCGCAGCAGTGGGGTCTGGAGACCGCAGGTCACGTGACATGCTTGCTCCTCTGCACACCATCTTCCTTCCCTTAGTCCTAGATTGTCCCACCCCCTCTTCTGACACTCCAGGCACACACGTGGTGCATGGACTTCCGTGCACATAAACCACTGGTACTAAGAGGAAGGTCCGCCGTAGACACGCCCAAGGGCCAACCTGACTTAGACGCCCCTCTCTGCCGCTCTCCTCCCAGGTGACCCCAGGTCCTGCCAAGTTGACAGTTGAAACTGACCATCATGGTAGCCGTCAGGCTACCTGGGACAGCCTGCTGTTCACCTGCTGTGTGGCCGTGGGCAAGCACCTTGACGTCTCTGAGCCGCAGTTTACTCAGATAATAGAATGAATGTTCCCTTTAAATGAGACAGGGGGAATACCGTGGCGCAGCACCCGAATGCTTAGGAAGGTTCTGATAAATGGTAGTGTTGGCTGGAGAGAGGCCTCAGTGGGTAAAGGTTCCTGTCTCAAAAGCCTGGTGACCTGTGATTGCCAGAACCTTCATAAAGGTAGGACAGAATGACTCCATGGATTTGTCCTCTGACCTCCACAGGCCCACATATCCACATCATACACACATAGTAGTAATACATTTAAAATATTTTTAAAGGAAATTCTTGGTTAAAAAAAAAAAGCCGGGCGGTGGTGGCGCACGCCTTTAATCCCAGCACTTGGGAGGCAGAGGCCGGCAGATCTCTGTGAGTTCGAGGCCAGCCTGGGCTACCAAGTGAGTTCCAGGAAAGGCGCAAAGCTACACAGAGAAACCCTGTCTCGGAAAACCCAAAAAAAAAAAAAAAAAAAAAAAAAAATCTATATGAGCTTAGCAGAGGTGCAAATTTTTTTTTTGGCCTGAAGTTTTTTTGGTTTTTTTTTTTTTTTTTTGGTTTTTTTTTTTTTTTTTTTTTGGTTTTTCGAGACAGGGTTTCTCTGTGTAGCTTTGCGCCTTTCCTGGAATTCACTTGGTAGCCCAGGCTGGCCTCGAACTCACAGAGATCCGCCTGGCTCTGCCTCCCGAGTGCTGGGATTAAAGGCGTGCGCCACCACCGCCCGGCTCATATAGACTTTTTTGAAAAGTACATTTGTATTTGGTTATTTTTGTATGGGAGGGGTATGTACTGGTAGAGGTCAAAGGACAACTTAGAGGAGTCAGTTCTTTCCTTTTACCATGTGGGTCCTGAGGATCGAACTCGGGTTGTCAGTCTTGGCCACAAGCACCCATACCCACTGAACCATCTTGCTGGCCCAAGCTCCTATAGAGTTTTTTGTTGTTTCTAAACAACAAAGTGACAACCGTTTGCATGGCACTTAACGGGCTTAATTACTCCATTCATCTGGAGCTGAGTAGATTCAGGAGGGTGTCTGTCATTTGGTGCCCAAGACTTGAACATGGACGGATATTTATAAGGGCTTCTGGAGTGGTCCCCCATATACCAGGGAATGGCTGTAGTTAGTACTCTTGATGGTGGGGCTCATATGAGGTGCTCCAGGGGAGGGTCCCTCTTAGGACTGTTCCCCTCTCCAACATGTCTGTCTCCAGGAGAAGAGGGAGCCAGGCCCCAAGCAAATACCTATGAGCCTACTGAAGAGCCCCCTGAGGGTGCCAGACAGGCTCCGACTGCTTCCAGTAGCTGGTGGGCAGTGAGGTTGGAGAGGGCTTCAGTGTGTCACCCCAGGTCACTGCACCCTTCCCTTTCCTAGGTTGATTGGCCACACCCCATCCTACTGTGATGAGTCACTGTTCGGGTCCCGGCCACAGGGCACCAACAAGGAGGGGTCTCGGACAGCCATAGGAGATGCTGCCAAGCTCCGGACCCTTTTCTGGACACCACCAGCCACCCCTAGGGGCGGCCGCTCACCTCGCCCCAGGGAGACCCCACTTCGAGCCATTCACCCAGATGGACCCTCCAGGATGGCGTCCAGCGTGGCGACAGGCTCCCAGAAGACATCCCAGGAGGGGTTGGATGCTCCCCGCTCTCTGGGGTGGAGACGTTCCCATTCACTCACCCACCTAAGTGTCCCCAGCATGGGTCATCCAGCTTCCAGTGTCCCCCAGACCAATGGACCTTGGAGTCCCCGGCCTTCCACATCAGGGATGACCGTCCAGAGTCCCCTGGTCACTCCCAAGGCACGGTCAGGCAGTGTTTCAGGGCCAGCTGCCCCTCAACGAGGGGCCGGCTCCCCCAAGCCAAAGCCTCCTTGGAAATGAGGCTCTCACCAGGTAAGTCTTTGGCTCACAGCAAGGACTCAGCTCAGGTGGGATCCTCTGGGGACCAGTGTCTCCAGGGCGCCCAAGCACTGGAGAAGCCTCCGTGGGGCTCTGTGGTGAGGATGGGCCATACTTCCCTTTGTCCTCACAAGCTCAGCCTCTCTCTGCATCGGTGCCAAACCCCACCCAGCTTCCTGCTCAGGATTCAGTTTCTACAGGGGTCTGGGAACCTTAAGGGAGCTTCCTGGGCTGTGTCTGGACCCCAAGGGTGGAACATGGGGAGACATTATTTTAATATTCATGTATTTATTCCACATATTAAATGTATTTAGCTCATCAACGTCCAGTGGTGTGTTACTTTTTCCCCCTTAAGTAAAGGCCTCAGTCGATTTAAACAGTTGAGTTAAACAGAACAAGGAGTGATTTCAGAGTATGGCAGAAATGACAGGGGCTGCTGAGGTCTGAGGACATAGAACTTAAATAATCCAACCTGGTCCTGTCTCTGTCCTGTGACGCCATGCATGGGTAGGTGGATGGGTCTTGCCAGCTCAGGACACAGGGAGAGTCCTTTGCTAGCAATTGTCTTGTGGGGGGGGGGGGCAGGATGTAGCTCGGCAGTAGAGTGTTTGCTTAACATACACGAATGGGGCCCTGGGATCAATCCCAGCAACCTCCGCCCTCAACAACACAGAACAGGACTTGGTGATGACCCAGGTGGAAAAGGCAGCCGGGAAGGCGTCTGCAGAGCCCGAGGCCTGGGCTGCTGGGTACGCTGCACTCTCCTGCACTGCAGTGGGGTGGAGCCCTGGACCTCAGAGCTTCACTGCAGGTCCTGCATCCTTCCCTGGATGATGGCAATGGGGTCTTGAACCTCTCCTTGTCCCTGTCTCTCCCTGAGCATTTCAGGGAGCCCAGTGGGCATCTCATCATTGTCTCCGTGTAGCCAGACCCAGGGACATGTGTAATCACCTGCAGAGGTCAGACAGCCGTGTCTGGGCACAGACACACTGCACTTTAGCCATGTAGGATGTTTACGCTTCTAGAACTTTCACAAAGGATGGGTTAGTCTACCTCCTGTTTTTCATGTTCCTTCCCTTCGTGTTGATAGATAGACACAGGCTAGAAATAGAAGCACACATTCTTCTCCCATCTGCACTAAAGGTCACCTGGGGCCCAGGGCGATGTCACCAGGTAGCTGATACCAGGCCTGGAATCTGGCTAATACCAGGCTGTGGTGTCAGAGCAGTTGGGGGTGATGGAACAGGAACAGCCTTATGGGAACCACAAAAGGTGGAGGAGGGGGCACTGGAGAGATGATCCAGAAGTTAAGAGTGCTTACTGCTCTTCCAGAGGACCTGGGTTTGGTTCCCAGCACCCACATCAGGTCTCATAACCACCAACAATTCCAGTTCTAAGGGATCCAACACTCTCTGACTTCTGCTGGCATCAGGCATGCATGTGATGGACGTACACACACACACACACACACACAAACACACACACACACACACAGCTTTTAAGGAAAAAAGTGGCCAGGTTGTGGTCGTGCATGCCTTTAATCCCAGCACTCGGGAGGCAGAGGTAGGCAGATCTCTGTGAGTTTGAGACCAGTCTGGTCTACAGAGCGAGTTCTAGGACAGCCAGGAATACACAGAGAAACCCTGTCTCAAAAAAACAAAGAAAAAAAAAAGTGGGGACTGAAGGGGTGGCTCATGGGTTAAGAGAACTTAACTGCTCTGTCAGAGGCCCTGAGTTCAGATCTCTGCACCCTCTTCAAGTGGCTCACACCAATCTGTAACTCTAGTTCCAATGAATTATGCACCCAGCTCTGGACTCCATAGGCACACCCACATAAATAACCTTTTTGTTATTGTTGTTGTTCTGGTTTTTTGTGAGACAGGGTTTCCCCAGGTATCTCTGGTTATTCTGGAACTCACTTGGTAGACCAGGCTAGCCTCGAACTCAGGGATCCTTCTGTCTTAGCCTCCCGAGTGGTGGAATTAAAGGCAAGGTGTGCACTCCCCACACCTTGGCCATCCTTTGTTTTATAAACTGGAAGAGTCAGCCAGAAGAGATGGCCTATGCCTGTAATTTCAGCATTTAGAAATCAGAGGCAGGAGGATCACCATAAATTCTAGGCCAGCCTGGGCTACATAGGAATACTGTGTCTCAAAATAAAGTTGCACTGGGCAGTGGTGGCGCACACCTTTAATCCCAGCACTTGGGAGGTAGAGCCAGGCGGATCTCTGTGAGTTCGAGGCCAGCCTGGTCTACAGAGTGAGATCCAAGACAGGCACCAAATCTACACAGAGAAACCCTGTCTCGAAAAACAAAAAAAAATAAAGTTGCAGGGTGGCTGCTGCTGCACCATGGAAGATACAAGGCCAGGATGCTGGGATATCAGGGTGATGTGATCCATACAGAAAGGGCTGTTAGGTTTCTATAGAATAGTCCTCAATTTCTGAAATTTTAGCAACTAATGCTTTTTAAAACCGTGCAAACAATCTAAATGCCAAACCAACACGGCTGCTGCCTTCCTGACAGTTCATAGCGTTGGGGCAGAGCCCTGGGTGAATGGACAGTCCCAGGGCAAGCCAGGGCTACCTGGTGATGATCTCTCCATGGCCTCCACAGTCGCTCCTGGGCTTGGACCAGGGCCTCATTTCTCAATGAAGATGTGGGAGGATGGGGACCCAAAGCTTGCACCCTCCTCAGGATGCTGTGCCCATGAGCAACACAGTCTCATCCCGGGAGAGACATGTCTGTTGAAGGGTGAGCCCTTGAGTATGATTTAAATGTTCTGTTTGCTTTTTTGGGGGGGGGGGTTGTTTTGTTTTTATTTTAGCCCATTAAAGCTAGGGATGGAAGGGCTGGGGCAGGGTAGGGGCGTGGTTGAGGCTGGGCGTGGGCGGGGCCAGGCGGCGGTGGTCACTTCTTGCCTTTGCCCTTGCCCTTGGCCGCCTTCTCCCTCCCCTTCTCCTTCCCTTTCTCCTTCTCCTTGCCCTTCCCCTTGTCTTTGCCCTTGCCCTTGCCCTTGCCCTTCTTCTTCCTCTTGGACCTGAGCATGGAGCGCACCAGGTATCCCTTCCACACCGCCTGGATGAGCGTGGCGGCCTTCACCATGCGCACCATCTCGCGCTCCGCCTCCACCCGTTTCTTAGAGTTGATCTCACTCTCGGCGCGGATCTGGGCGAACTCCTCCACCAGCACCGCATGCCTCTCCTTCAGCTCCTCCAGCTGCAGCTTCTCCTCCTTGTGGATGCTCTCCAGGTCCTCGTATTCATCCTAGGCGAGAGGCAGGACTGGGGGCGCAGCACCTAGCATGGCCTCCCTGCTCCCCGGCTTCCGCCCCAGCCAAGTAGGATGCAGAGCCTGTCTGTACCTGGGCTCACTCCAGGGAGGACCCAACTGAACGGATCTCGGAATGGAGGGAGGAACAAGGGTTGTGAGTTGTGCAAACCTAGGTGTAAGTGCACATGTGAATGCATGTGGTGCACGTGTGTGTATGTGTGTGTGTGTGTATGTGTATTATAGGCTAAAGGTCAACGTCTGGCATCCTCCTCAATCTCTCGACTTAATTTTTTTTTTTTCGAGACAGGGTTTCTCTGTGTAGTTTTGCGCCTTTCCTGGAACTCGCTTTGTAGACCAGGCTGGCCTCGAACTCACAAAGATCCGCCTGCCTCTGCCTCCCGAGTGCTGGGATTAAAGGTGTGCGCCACCACCGCCCGGCGTCGACCTAATTTTTTGAGGTAGGCTCTTTTACTGAACCTGGAGCTTGCTGGTGTCACTGGGCTGGCAAATTCCCAGGGTCTGCCTCCCAGCACTGAGATTACAACTGCACACTTCGGCGTTCAGCTTCTCGCATGGGGGCTGGGGATGCGAACTTGGGTCCTGTGTTTGCCTGGCAAGCAGCCTACTAACTGAGCCAGCTCCCCAGTCCCTGGCCCCAGCTTTGAAATGTAGCTTCTCTGCGCCTTTAGGAGATTCCCTTTTAAGCTTCTGGTTTTCCAGACAATTCCAAGTACCCGGGCCAGTTTCTGGGATCACGTGACCTTCCAGCTTCAGTATGAAAGGCCCCTCAGAGACACAAGGGTTGGAGTCCTGGTACCCCGCTAGGTGGCGCTGGTGAGTGGTGACTGAACCATGAAAGCTCATCGCTGGACAGGAGGAAGGGGCCTTCCGGGAGGAAGTAGTTCACTGGGGAGTGGACCCTTGAAAGGTATCTTCTTTTCAGTCTGTGTCTCCTTCCTCCTCTTCCTCCTCCACCCTTTCCTCCTCCCTCTCCTCCTTCATTCCCAGCCATGCTCCCCTCTCTGTGACATTCCCACCTCAGGCTCAAGGCAGTGGGGTCAGGTGACCACAGACTGAACTCTCCAAAGCTCTGAGCCCAGACAAACCTTTCTTCCCTTTCTCAGGTGTTTCATCACAGTGGCAGAAAGTTGGCTACTGAGGCGCTGATACCCCACAGTGCCAGGACACAGTGAGGCCGTGGGGAGGGGAAGGAAAGCCTCCACCAGTGAGGCGGCTTCACAGAGCCTCAGAACAGAAAGATCCGTCTCGGGTGACCCCGAAGTGCCCCCTCTGTCTCTCGCCCCTCTTGTATAATTCACACCAACTTCCCCTTCTCTGCTCTCTCTCTACCGCTTCTTCCCACCAGCATCCCTGAGTAGCCACCGCGGGCAGAGCACAAGGACTGGGCTGACAGAGTCCCTGCCAGCACGGATCCTGTGGCTCTCGGTGGACTCTTTGCAGGGTCTTTGTTGTAGTACTGGACCCTGTGCACGCTAGGCGGGTGCTGAACCACCCAGCCATGTCCCCAGCCACACAACCTCCGCCGGGACCCAGGGTCAGGCTGAAGGGGGCCCTGCTTGCCTGTCTCTGACCAGGCTTGGCCTTAGACTGTCTGGTGTGAACCCTCAGCTCTCCAGCCTGGCCACCCAGGTCAGGGCCAGGTGCCACCCATGTCACCGGCAAGTGGGTGGGGCCATACAGGCCCCCACTGCAGGTCAGGACTTTGTCTAGACCTAATTCGGGGCTCAGACACATTCAGTAATGGTGTCTCATTAGCCCTCCCACCAGGGTCCCAGGACAGACATCACAGCCTGTGTTCCTCATGGTGAGATACAAACTTAAAAAGGCCAACTGATGTCGGGTGACACAGCTGATGAGTGACGCCAGTTTGGAACCTGCAGGTGACAGTGAGGACTGTCTATACTTCCCTGTCTTATCGTGGGGCCTGGCACCTTTTAGGTGCTCAGCGAGTGCTGAGTGATGGTAGTGGGGTGGACCCCCCTCTGAACTGGGAGCAGGCAGGAGCTGAGCCAGGCTGGAGGAGGGGACCCCAGGATGCAGATATTAGATGGAGCCACATCCTTCTGGATGGATCTGGTTTTCACAGTTTCCCACTTTTCAGGTCTTCTTACCTAGACCCTCCACCCCTGTAGACCTCCCACCACCCACACCTGGACATGCCCCTTGAGGCCAAGAGTCTCCAGGGGGGCTCATACCCAGGCCATCCTGGGCAGCTCCTACCCGAGTCCCATCCCTCCCTACCCCTCAGGCGGAACCCCCAGCACATACCTGCTTCTCACTCATCTCCATGTCGTATTTCTGGATCCAGTTCTCAATTTCTGTCTCCACTTTATATTTTTTCTTAAAGAAAAATAAAAAACTCCAGGGTCAGTAAATTGGCTCAGTGGGTAGGTCGAGCCACTTAGGACTTGAGTTTAATCCCCTGATCCCACAAGGTGGCAGGAGAGAACTAATAACAGGGCTGATCTCTGATCTCCACGTAGGCATTGTGGTACATGAACACGCACGCGCGCACACACACAAACACACACATACACACACAAACACGATAATAGAATAATAGTTTATTTTAAAGGGTCAGCTCCCAGCTGGGGGTGTGGCTCAGAACCTTTGCCTAGCACGAATGAGGCCCTAAGTTTAAAAGCTAAATATACAAGAGGCAGGAGAGATGGCTCAGCACTTAAGAGTACCAGTTTCAGGCCGGGCGGTGGTGGCGCACGCCTTTAATCCCAGCACTCGGGAGGCAGAGCCAGGCGGATCTCTGTGAGTTCGAGGCCAGCCTGGGCTACCAAGTGAGTTCCAGGAGAGGCGCAAAGCTACACAGAGAAACCCTGTCTCGAAAAACCAAAAAAAAAAAAAAAAAAAAAAAAAAAGAGTACCAGTTTCTCTTCCAGAGGACCCGGGTTCAATTCCTAGCACCCACATGGTGGCTCACAACCCTCTGTAACTCCAGTTCTAGGGGCTCCAACATCCTCTCTGGTCTCTAAGGACACTGCACACATGTGGTACACAGACATACAGACACACATGTAGGCAAGACACCCATATACATAAAATAAAAACTCAAAGAAAAAGAGAACACTTGGGCCAGGCATGGTAGCACACACCTTTGATCCCAGCACTCGGAAGGCAAAGGCAGGTAGATCTCTGAATTCAAAGCCAGCCTGGTCTACAGAGTGAGTTCCAGGACAGCCAGGGCTACATAAAGAAACCCTGTCTCAGAAAGAAAAGAAAGAAAGAAATTTCTCCCCATACATAAAATGAAATGAGATTCTGCCATAGACAGGCATGAAGCAAGACAAGGTCTCCATCACGGTGAACTTTGAGATGGCGGTGACGGAGGAGCATCCCTCCCACCTGTGCTCCCCCCCCCCCCCCGAGATACCACCCATGTTGGGCTTCCCCACTCCTGGGCCAGCCCTGCCCTGCCCTCTCTGCCCCTGAGACCTCAGGGCACCTTCCTCAGAGCCTGCTCCACCTCCCGATTCTCCATGACCAGATTGTGGTACTGTGAGCGCAGTGCCAGGATCTCTTGCTGTATCTTGGCCAGCCTGGCCTGCGAGGCCCGGTAATCCATCTTCTGCTGTTTCTCCGCCTCCTGCTTGGTGCGGAGGAGGCTGTTCTCCGAGAACTTGAACACCTGGTGCAGGTGGTTCTTCAGTTCTTGGATCACAAAGTTCTCCTTCTCCACCTACACCGGGATGAAGGAGGACAGGGCCCCATTGATATCTGCACAGCGCCCCCCCCCCAATCACCGGGGCGGGGCAGCCGGCCTTTGGCTGGGCCCTCCCTTAGGGTTCTGAACCAGCCAGGCTTATGCTCATCTCGGGCCCGGGACCACATGCTCCCTTCCATCTAGGAAAGGGGTCAGCAAACACAGGCTCAAACCCAGACAGCCACATCTGTCAATAAAGTATTATTGGGGCACAGCCCTTTTGGTCTGATACTGCTCATGGCTGCTGCCACACTAACAGCAGAGTCATGTTGAGACCACTGGCCCACTTGAGCCCAGCACGTGGATTGTGTGACCCTTTGGAGATGAGATATAGAGCCAAAAAAAAAAAAAAAAGGGCAGGCTGCCGCCGCTCACCTGTGACAAGTGTGCAGGAAGACAGTAGCCTCTGGGGACCCACAGCCATCAAGATATGACAGATCTGAACTGTAGCTGACCCGAGACTCATTATAATACACTAACAGTCAAATCTGGGCAGGGGTGGGGTGGTCAAAACGCACAGACAGGTACACTTGAAGCTGCCTGCAGGACTACTGAATGTTCAAATATTCAAACCTTTCCATAAGATGAAGCGCAGCCCGGTGTTCACAGCTGCAGAGTAGCCTGCTAGACCTCTCTGTGCGTGTGCATGTGTGTGCACGTCTTGCGTGTCATCCACTTCTCACTGGCCTGGAGCCTGTTGGCTAGGCTAGGCTGGCTGGCCACTGGTCTCAGGGGTCCTCCTGTCCCTGACTCCCCAATGCTGAGATTACAGAGGTACGCTACCATGTCAGCTTAAAAAAAAAAAAAAAAAAAAAACCACTGTGCTCCAAGGCTCAAACTCGGGTCCCTCAGCTTGTACAGAAAGCTTTTTATTCAGAGCATGCCCGGGCCTGTACTTTTCTTGAGACAGGGTCTCTCTGTGTAGCCCTGGCTGTCCTTGAACTCACTCTGTAGACCAGATTGGCCTTGAACTCACAAACATCTGCCTGCCTCTGCCTCCACAGTGCTGGGATTAAAGATCCTCTCCAATACTGGCCAGCCCTATACTTCTTTTTATAATAAGCTTTCACTTTTCTTTTGCTTCAGTACTCTTGGGCTTCAGATTTCTTTCAAGATTTAATATAATTTTAAAATTGTGTGTGTGTGTGTGTGTGTGTGTGTGTGTGTGTGTGTGTGTGTGTGTGTATGAATATGTGTGTGAATATGTGCACATGAATGCAGGTACCTGTGGTGTCCAGAAGAGGGCGACATCCCTGGGAGCTGGAGTTAAAGGTGTTTGTGAGTTGCTGGACATAGGTGCTGGGAACTGAGCTCTTCTGCTCTGCTAGAGCAGTATGTACCGGAGGGTGGTGGCACAGGCCTTTAATCCCAACACTAGGCAGGCACAGGCAGGGAGATCTCTATGGGTTCAAGGCCAGCCTGGTCTGTGGCATTCCAGGCCAGCCAGGGCTGTATACTGAGACAAACAAAGGCTGTATACCTGTCTTAAACAAAGAAAGGAGCAGGATGCACTTTTAACCACCGAGTCCTCTCGCCAACCCTCCCCCATGTGTCCAATGTCTATTCCTCATAAGAGGAAGAAATCACTTAGTTGGTGACACAGACACTTTGTCGGCCCTTGGCTGGGAAGGCCTTCCTCACTTGTCTAGCTCAGCCCCCCTTTCTTTATCCTTCTTGTCTTAGTGGCAATGTCCCTGGTCCTTCTGGTCCAAGTTCAATTCTCTTGTATCATCCCTCCATAGTGCCCTGTCCTTATCCGTCATCATACTTCAAAATAGCAGTCAACTAATTCCTTAGTGCCTTCCTTGTGTCCTGTGAGCTCTTGAGGCTGGGTTTACGTAAAGGCATACCTCCTAGTGAGATGTGCAGAACAATCTCTATGTAGTAAATGAAGAGAAAGCTATTTGAATCAATGAGAGAAAACCCAAGTCCCAAAGAGTTTGGCCCCTCGGGCGCAGTTCCTCCCGCCACTTGAGGGATGCTGGGAAGTATACCTCTGCCTCCTTATTCTTCAGCACCTCTGCCAGTTCAGCCTGGAGGCCGTCGATGACTTCTTGGTTCCTTTCATTCCTCCGGTTGATGTCCTGTAGGAACTGGTTCTTCTCCTTCACTTCCATTGGGCTGGTGATTAGCTTTTCAAAGAGGAAGCCCCGCAGCTCCACCAGGCTGTGGAGGAGGCGCTGGGCCCCTGGGCTTCTGCCTGGCACCTGCATCTGCACTAGGGTGATGACCTGGGAGTCACTGATCAGGAGCCTCAGGATAGTCTTGGTGGAGTCTCGGAACTGGTGTGCCAGCGGCCACAGGCTGGCCCTGCATAGGTCTATGGACAGTAGGCGGTCTCGGTACCAGCCTTCCTCAGCTTCCTCCACTTCTTCTTCCAGACATTTTTGTTTCTCCTGCAGGATGCTGGCACCCTCCAGCAGGGGCTGGCCAAGGTCCAAGTGTTCTCTCACGGCTCTCACCAAGTCTTCAGGGAACATTCCCTCCAGAGCCTCTGGGTGAGACTCCACGTAGGACATCAGGGTCACCAGGCCCACCTTTTGTATGCCTTCATCCAGGACTGACATGATTCTCTTGGCCTCGATGGTGCTGAGCTTGGATTTGGATGGGACCAAGGTCTTCATCGGCACAGCCGGGATTAGGTCCGTCCTCAGTGGGATTCTTTGGATAGCCAGCCCGTGGTAGGAAGGGGCCATGCTGAAGACCTCTAAGGTCATCTCTGGAGCAGCTGGCTTTGCCTCTGGTTATACTCTGGTACTGAGACGTTGGCCAACTCAAGGCTCTCCGGGCTTTCACAATCTCCAGCAACCCTGCTAAGGAAGGGGTAGCTGTTAGTTATGTCACTGAGGGCCATGATGACCACTGTACAGAACCTGGAAGCTACTTTTAGCTCTTTGGTTTTGTGTGTGTGTGTGTTTTTTTTAATTTTATTTTTTGAGGTAGGGTCTCTTATAGCCTAGTCTGTCCTTACCCCGGATCCAAGTGCTGGGATTACAGGTGTGTACCACCCTGTCAGGCTTATCTTTTAGCATTGTGACGATGCTTGGTACTTGATTGAGCCACTGGAGTGAGAGGGCGGAGGGTGGAGGTGAGTCCCAGACACATACCAGGCAGGAAGCAGTCACTGTTCTGAGGACCTTCATATGGGGGTTACCCAAGCGGCAGAATCGTAGAGAGGCCAGCTTTAGGCAGCTGAGGTCACCTAGCAGTGTCCACAGCAGGGAGCCACACAGGAAGAAGATGGGAGTGGAGGGCTCAGGGGCAGCGGCAGACCCCAGAGGAGTTGAAGCTGTGGCTGAAGCGCGGTCCAAGCTAAGCAGAGCGTGGAAAATGTGCTCTGCCCCGACCTGCATTTCCTCCACGTTGACCCCACACCCACTGTGTCCTGGGTCAGTGGGCCAGGACACAGAGGAGGCTGGGACAAGGAGCCACAGGTCACAGAGTAGGACGGGACATGGACGGAGCAGGATGAGTCACAGAGCAGGAGAGGACATGGACACGGTAGAACAGGTCACAGAGGAAGACATGGATAGGACAGGCCGCAGACAGAGCTGAACAGGTCCCAGCCAACAATGGGGCCAAAGCAGGCTGGGGGGTGACAGTGCACCAGCACACGTCAGGAGTGTGTGTGTGTTTAGGTGTGTGTCATGTGTGCATATGTGTAGGTGTGCATGTCTGTGTGGTGTGTGCATGTGTAGTATGTGCATACGTGTAGGTATGCATGTCTGTGTAGTGTGTGCATGTGTGCTTAGAGTGCATATGTGTGGGGGTGAGCATGTGTGTGTGGATATGCATGTGTGTGTGTGTGTGTGTGTGTGTAGTGTGTGCATCTATGTGTATGTGTGTGCACATATTACACGTCCATATGCAGACCAGAGGTAACCACTGGGTGTCTTCATTTATCCATCCCTTCCTTGGTTTTTGAGACAGGGTCTCTCACTGAACCTGGACCTCACCAACTCAGGTAGGCTGACTGGCCAGCAAACCCCAGGACTCCTCTTCTCTCCACCTCCCCAATACCAGGATCACACACTGTTGCTGAGGCCCTTGTCTTTTTATGTGAGTGCTGGGGACTGAATTAGCTCATCAGGTGTGTGTGGCAAGCACCTTCCCAATGCAGCCATTCCCTCCCCTGGCCCGGCACTTGGGAGGCAGAGGCAGGCGGATCTCTGAGTTTCAGGATAGCCTGGTCTAAAGTGAGTTCCAGGACAGCCAGAGCTACATAGTGAGACCCTGTCTCCAAAAAAAAGCAAACCAAATATTACTGTGACTTTGGTAGCACGGTGGCTGTGTGGCGGGAACTTGCAGCGGCCCCACTTGAATCCCAGTCATTGCTGAGGGGCTGGGTATGGTTACTCCTGGGGGCGGGGCCTGGTTCCCTTTGCTGTAAGGTAGGAAAGCCTTGGGTTCCACAGGAAGCTTGGAGCACCAGGCTCGGACATGGTGAGTCCTCAACAGCTAATATTACGTTATAGGCCCAGGGAAACTGAAGCGTGAGTCTGGAACACCATGAATGCCATCTCCATGTTCAGCCTGCCGACAGGCTCCGAGGTTCGCACACAGACCTGCTCATTTGGCCACCATCTCTCCTTTCTCCGAAGAAGTGCCCGCCAACAGAGCAGGGGCTCGTTGGGTTTGTTACACACTGTGACTAGGGAGGCTTGGAGGGAATGTGTGTGTGTGGGGGGGGGGACGACAGAGGACTCACACCTTGAGTTCCTAGCTGCCAGCACTGGAGGGGACAGTGGCGCTGATGTCTCTGTCTGCTCAACTCTGTGTCACTGTCAGGTAAAGGCGCCCGGTTTCCCTCGGGAAGCATATGTCCCCCGCCCCCATCACAGGCAGTTGCTCTGGTTTGCACAGAACCCACAGGTTCATGTGTTAAAGCGTTGGTCCCCAGCCCACAGTGCCATGGCCATGCAGAGGTGATGGGACCTCTCTTTAAGAGGTGGGGCCTGGAGGGGAGGTTGTTGGGGTTTTTTCTTTTTTGGGGGGTGGGTGAGTGTTGAGACAGAGCCTTACTATATAGCCTGAAAGTCACTATGTAGACCAGGCTGGCCCTGAACTCGCAGAGATCCTCCTGCTTCTGCCTCTGGCTCCTGAGTGTTGGGATTAACCTGGCTGGTGCAAGGTCCTTAGGTGGCTGGGGCTGTGCCCTGGAGGGGACACTCACACTGTCTCTCTGTCTCTTTCTCTCTGTCTCTCCCCCTCCCCACCTCTCCAATTGGAAGTAAGCAAGCTTCTCTCACAGGCTCTGCCATGATGTGATGCACTGTCCGGCCACAGCGTCCAAAACAGAGGAGCCACCAGCCATAGACCAGACGAGCCTCATAAGTCATTCACCTCAGGGACTTTGTCATGGTAAGAAAGCTGACTAATACAGTAAGTAGTCTTGGTGGGACTGTTCATCAAGTATTCCTGTCCACTGTCTCAGCGGAGCAGGGACTCTGCCTGAGGGGAAACCACGGGGGTGGGAATTGCCAAGCTCCCGGCTCCTTCCTGAAGACCCTACTAATCCAGACCCTGAAGTGTGTGTGTGGGAGTGGTGGTGGACGGACACAGCCTTCTTGGCTTCTGTCTGAGTTCTGAAGCCTGGTTGGTCAGCGCTGGTTTTCATTGCTACGCTCAGCCTCTACACGTTTCTGTTGTTTGTGATCAGGAAGGCTCAGCTGATCAAATATTCAATCAGAGAGCCTCTTAGGTGATCGAACAGCATAGGAGCTGATGATGACGGTCACAGGGACCCAGATAAAGATGGTGAAGGAGAAAGAGCCATGCAAAGCCACAGAAGACTATCTTTAGTTCAACAAACCGCAGACAGCGAGGCAATTGGGTAAGTCTCTAATACGTCTCAGGACAGAGAAAAGAGGCGCCAGATCTGTTGTGAAGGATGGGAGGCTCCTTGGCTAGACAAAACATGTCCAGAGTCTGGACCTTCTTAAAGGCTGAAGACCCAAGGCGGCACCATCTTGCTTCCCTGGGACTCATTCCCACTTCCTGCTCTCTCATCCACAGAGTGAGTTCCCCAGGGGCCTTTTCCTGACTCTAGAGTGTTCTGGGCAACTGTGGAGCCTCTCCCTGGCCCCTCTGAGGATGAAGGGTCCCTGCCCCGAGGCCACAGGATGAAGGAAGGAAGTGCTGGATGGACACACGTTTCCACGCCATCCTCAGCGTTCTCTAGGCATCAATCAAGATTCCCAGGATTCTTGGGAGACGAAGGCTGGAAACTCAGAGCCACGGGGAATGTTTCCAATTTGCTTTCAGCCAAATTGCCTCTTTTGCTTTAAAGGGCAAGCTTGTTTTCTTTGATTACCAGGATGCCCTTCAGTTCTTGACAGCTCATTTGGGTGAACAGGGGAAGGGGAAGGTGTGGGGAGAGGGGTGAATGATGACGCCAGCGAAAACTACCCGAGAATCTTTTTCCTTGAATTCTAATGAGTGTTCCATGTCCTTTCTGATGCCACCAACCTTCATATTGAAATTGTTGTCAACCCAGCCCTCCCCTTTTAAAGCTTCCTGCCCTGAGAGTCAAGCAGGGCTGCAGATACACCAGGTTTTAATTGCCATGAATTCTATTGATTTATCTTTATCATGCAAATAGGCCTGTTGGATATTTATTACTCCGTTCCTGTCTTGGAAAAAAATGATTTGAACTAAAGGATCCCCACCCCCCACGCACACACTTGGAAAGAAGACGAAAGAAACCCGTGACTATTTCACAGACCCAGTACTGGCTGTGGGAGGCCGGGGTAGGGAGAAGGGTGTCTTGGCTTAAGGACCTTTTTTGTAATACTGGCCAATGTTAGAAGTTACCTATGTGCCCAACTGTCCTAAATGTACCTGTGACCGCAGCACTCTGGAGGTGGGGGCAGGAGAATCACAAATTCATGACTATCCTTGGCTTCACAGTGAGTTGAAGGCCATCCTGGGCTACATAGGGAGACTCTGTCTCAAGCAAAATTACAAAACAAAACAAAAAAAAAAAAACAAAACAAAACAAGAAGTACTTTCTATTGATGAGTTCCTTTGGTCCTGAGAGCCCTGCAAGGTCATCTTTTTTCCTCCATTTCACAGACAAGAAAAGGGAGCTGAGAGCAGTAAAGAAGTCCAGTCAGTCATGAGAAGAGCAGTAAAGGAGTCCAGTCAGTCATGAGAAGAGCAGTAAAGGAGTCCAGTCAGTCATGAGAAGAGCAGTAAAGGAGTCCAGTCAGTCATGAGAAGAGCAGTAAAGGAGTCCAGTCAGTCATGAGAAGAGCAGTAAAGGAGTCCAGTCAGTCATGAGAAGAGCAGTAAAGGAGTCCAGTCAGTCATGAGAAGAGCAGTAAAGGAGTCCAGTCAGTCATGAGGAAATCTTCCACCCATAGTTGGTGTGTTAGTTCAGTGGGTAAAGATGCTTGCTTGCCTCCAAAACTGAGAACCTGAGTTTGATCCCCAGAACCTATGCTGTAAGGAGAAAACCTACTCTCGAGAGCTGTCCTTGATCTCCACACATGTGCAGTGGTATGACAGCACTCACACACATGCATCATGCACAAAATAATAATAATAACAATAAGTAGTAGTAGTAGTAGAAGGAAAACTTTTATCCTAAGCAACTATCACATAGTAGATGCTCAGTGAACACATAGGTGTTGGTAAATGAGGAGACGGTGGCCCTGCCTTCCCATCATTTCCTGCAGGATGATGCAGATGCAGTACTGAGTTCACAAGTCAGATCATGTCCTCACTTAGAGACAGACAACAAGGTCATCTGGGCTTGTTTCTTGTTTACTAGACAGGATCTCACTATGTTGCCCAGTCTGGCCTTGACCAAGTGATGCTCTGCCTCAGCCTCCCAAGTAGCTGGAAACTGCATCTTGTCGATTTTATTTGGTTCTGAAGACCCCTGGGGTGGGCTGTGGCAATGGAGCTGGAGGTAGACCCGCCAATAGACAGGATCTTGGCTGTGGCCAGAGGCTTCGGTGCTTCAGAGACAGGGCAGTGGCCAGTCACAACTGGGGATAGATGTTCACATTGCTGCTTGCAGTGGCCAACCTTCTGCAACTTGGGACAGACCTTGGCATGGTCACCTGACCTTCTACAGGTTCCAAAGTGAACAGGGAAGCCAGGGGCTCACTGTGTGGTAACTGAGTTCATTTGGAGCCCAGTCCCTGTGGCTCCCAACCAGTCATATGGGTTTGGATGACCACCCTCTCTAAGCTTTGGCTGCCTCTACCGTAAAATGGGGACAGACAGGGGACTTTACAGAACTCTTGAGTGAACGTAATACTGCCAAACATGTCCAGCTTTTATGACTTTTATTACTAACACTAAAATGACAAGCAAGAGCTGTAAAGGTGGCTCAGTGGTTAAGAGCACCTGTTACTCTTGCAGGACCAGGGTTGGTTCTCAGCACTCATATGAAGGCTCATAGCTGCTATTTATAGTTCTCCTTCCAAGGGATCCAGTGCCCTCTTCTGGCCTCTGGTAGTACTGCACACATGATGCACATCCATCCATCCAGGCAAAACATTCATATACATGAAATTAAAAAAAAAAAAATCTAAAAGAGGGGGCTGGAGAGATGGCACAGAGGCTAAGAGCACTAACTGCCCTTCCAGAGGACCCGGGTTCAATTCCCAGCACCCACATGGCAGCTCACAACTGTCTGTAATTCCAGTTCCAGAGGATCTGATACCCTCATACAGACATACATTAAATAAATAAATCTTTTAAAAAAAATCTAAAAGAAAGAAAGGAACCCTAAAGTATGACTATGGCACATCATTCTGCAGACTGAACAGAGGCAGGAGAATGCTAGGGGTGTTAAGTCCCAGGTTCAGAGAAACCCCCCGCCTCCTAGGAACAATCAAAGAGTTCCAAAGGACACTGAATCCCTTCTGGGTTCCACATCAGATGGTTTGAACTCCTTTCTTGGTCACGATATGCTTTAGAAATGTGCATTTCTAGTCACACATGACTGTACGATAGATTATTTTGGTGTTTCAAAAAGAATGAAGGGCTAGGAGTGGTGCATCTGTTTAGCATGTGTGAGGTTCTGGGTTCTATCACAGCACTAATACACACACACACACACACACACACACACACACACACACGTGTACACACATATACACAAACTAAGTAAATGAAATAGAATTTAAAATAGAGACCAGAAGCTGGGGTAGGGTGGGATGTGGTGGCGCATGCCTTTAATCCTAGCACTTGGGAGGCAGAGGCAGGTGAATCTCCAAGTTTGAGGCCAGCCTGGTCTACAGAGTGAGTTCCAGGACAGCCAGGACTGTTACTAGAGAAACCCTGTCTCAGGAAAACAAAACAAAACAAAACCTTCTTCATCTTTAGAAAATATCAATTACCGGAGTGTAGAATATCAATATTATCAACAAATGTAGGAAGCACAGAATTTGTGTTTGCCTGGAGTTTTGGCGCTGGAGATTAGACTTTTTTTTTGGTTTTTCGAGACAGGGTTTCTCTGTGTAGTTTTGCTGCCTGTCCTGGAACTTGCTCTGTAGACCAGGCTGGCCTCGAACTCACGGAGATCGCCTGGTTCTGCCTCCCGAGTGCTGGAACTAAAGGTGTGCGCCACCACCGCTTGGCTGGAGATTAAATTTAAGGTTAAAAAAAAAAACTCAGAACAAAACAAACAAGGAAAAAACTTAAGGCCACACATGTTCAGCACACCCAGTGCCGCCCAACTGCATTTAAAAATAATTTATTTATTTTTATTTTTAGTTTATTGGTGTTTTGCCTGCACGTATGTCTGTATGAGGGTGTTGGATCCCCTGGAACAGGAGTTACAGACAGTTACGAGCTGCCATAGGGTTGCTGGGAATTGAACTGGGGTCCTCTGGAAGAGTAGCCAGTGCTCTTAACCACTGAGCCATCTCTCCAGCCTGAGCCTGCATTATTCTTTTATAATTAAACCTGTGCTGAGAAATTTTAGAGGGAAAATGCATTTCTTTGTCAATTAAAAGAAAAAAGTCACCTGCATTTGAAAGCATTAGGTTTAAAATATTTTCATTGGCTACAGGATCTAACCTGTTGCTATCGTTGCTATAATAAAAGGTGAGGTTGAAAGATACTTTCCCCTGATGCTCTGTTTCAAATGTTCTCGATTTTTAATCACTTTTAATTCCAAGAACACTAACTAGGACCTCAAAGGAAAACTGTGTGTATGTGTTGAGTGTGGGGGGTGAGGTGGGGTATGTGCATGTGAGTTGCAGGTGTTTATGGGGCCAGAAGAGGGCGCTGGATCACCTGGAGGTGGAATTACAGACAGCTGTGAACCACTTGATGTGGGTGTTGGCAACTGGGGGATCCTCTGCAAAAGCTGTGTGTGTGCTCTTAATGAGCAAGCCATCTCTCCAGCCCCCCTCTTTAAGACAGTATTTCATGCAGCTCAGGCCGCCTCCACTATCCCCAATAAGCACTCAACAAACCCAGGTTAAATATGTGAATGTTTTCAGTATGGGCCAAGAAAATGTCCCTGGAAATATTTTGACAGGAAGAGTTAAGGTAGCGTGAGTCATGTCGGGGAATCACCGCAGTTAGCTGAGCAGTCACCGTGTGGCTGAACCTGTGCCAACCCTTCACTGCCTCGCCTCATTCAACCTTCCCAAGAAACTCTTCCTCCTCTTCAGAGTGCACCAGGAAATCACATTTTAAATATATGAGCTAATTTTTAAAGTTAGCACCAAAGACAAAATTCTGTGTACAATCAAAATAACCAGGGTAGAGAGAGAGCTTGGGGGTCTTAATAGCCCTGGCTGCTCTTGCAGAGGAGCCAGGCTTGGTTCCTAGCATATACATAGTGGCTCACAACCACCTGTAACTCCAGCTCCAGGGGATCCCATGCTCACTTCTGGCCTCCTCAGTCACAGCGCACACATTATACACATACATACACGCAGGCCTCACAGATACACATAAAATAAAAATAAACACATCTTTAAGTTTTTTTTAAAAGAGTGTGTACAGCTCTTTCAGAGGACCTGAGTTTAGTTCCCAGCACTTATGTTCGGCAGCTCACAACTGCCTGCCTGCCAGTAACTTCAGCTCCAGGCTGGAGGGGATCCAAAACCCCTTCCTGGGCTCATAAGCATGTACCCCACCAACACACAGAGAGTGGTCAAAATAATAAAAACAAATCTTCAACAAACAAGTAGCAATTAAAAAAAAAAACTAACTAGGTCAGGCGCAGTGGCACACTCCTTAATCCCAGCACTCAGAGGCAGCGGCAGGTGGATCTCTGTGAGTTCGAGGCTAGCCTGGGCTACAGAGCGAGTTCCAGGCCAGCCAGAGCTACATAACGAGACCTGGTCTCAAAAACAAAACAACAAACCCCTAATTTAAGCATACACTGAAGGGGGATCCTGCACAGGGCAAGCTCGCCTCGGAACATAGGGTCCTTAGTGGGGACAGTGGGTGCTTCACAAACCAACCCACCTTCTTACTTGAACTAAGTTCACCCGGATGTCTACATAAATGGTACCACTGAGGGGTAAGGGGCGGAGCCATGAAATGACAGGTGGATGGGACAGGAGACGGGACTATCAAAAGAGGATGCTCGGTGGTCCTTGCAGGAGGCCTAGAAGAGGCCTGGACCGAAGCCGGGCAGGGGAGTGAGGCCCTGAGATAAACGGGCTGGCAGTAGGACACGGACCCCTCGAGGGGGTCACTGGACGTGGCGCACACGGCACGCAGCCCCGGGGCTTCCCCCGCTGTCACTCACCGGCACCTCAAACTGCAAGCAAGTTTCTCTGCCCACGGTTCACCATCTCCGCGGCTCCTGTGTTGCTAGGTTACGCGCCAATCTTAGAAGGCGGGGCTCTGTGTTTGACTGACCTCCTTTTTCACCATTCAACTTCTACTCGGGCGGCCTTGGCTCCGCCTTCTGAGCGATGACCAATCAAAACCATCGTACCTCTGACGTTTCTCCAATGGAAAGACCCGGGATTCTCGTTGGTTGAGCGAGTAAGGCGGGGAAAGGAGTGGGGCTTCCTCGCCCCGCCCCCTCTTCGGGAGGAGGGACGCGAGAACGATGAGTGACGTGCGGATGACCCTGTCACATTTCATTGCGGCCTCTCTGCTGGCCAATGAGCCGTGGCTTGGGGTCGTGGGGCGGGGCTTGCGGGGCTGAGTGACCGGAGTCGGCGGATGCAAGGGCTGGCGCAGCTGCCGCTGTGGCAGCGGTGAGGCGGCGGTGGCGGCTGCAGCGGCTCCGCTGTCGGGGTATTGGCAGCGGCAGCTGCGGGCTGAGCTGCGTTGTGCAGATCCGGTGCACGGTGCGGGATCCCGGGACGGCGCGTGTAAGAATCCGAGGGGTGCGCGGGCTTGGCTCGAGGACGGGGGTCAGGGGTCAGAGGGCGCCGAGAAGGGGCTGAGACGGGGGCCGGGCGCTCCAGACGCCCGAGGCGGGGCCTGGGGAGGTTGCCCGCGTGCTTCTCCCCCATGCACATCCACTTCTCCCTGCACCTTGCTCTTTGCCTTGACTTCCTGGGGCGACCCGGGTCGCGGGCGGGGAGCGCGGGGAACTGGAGCCCCCGCGCATTCCTTCTCCTCCTCCCTTCCCTCCCGGCTCACCTCCGGGCTATGACCTCGTGACCGGGCCGGGGACTCCTGCTTGGGTCAGCCTGCTTCAGGAGACAGACAGCGGGATGGCAGCTAGCTCTGTGATCCCGGGACCTTACTCCAGGGGTGACTCCCCCCCCCCCCGGGGGTGACCCTCTCTAGAGTGAAAACCGAAGTCTGCCGTAGGGCAAGCCCCGAGGAGCCCCGAGTTCTGCCTCTGGGTCTGCTGTGTGACCTTGGACAGTTTCCTTCCCTCTGGGCCTCATTTCTTTCTCTTTAAAAAGTCATAGGCTCGTTGGGAGGAGGATGGCAACTTCAAGGCTATCCAAGACTAGACAGGACTATCCCAGTTTCAAAAGACAAAAACAACGAGAAAGGGAAAGGAATTGCTGGATCTCACTTAAGTGGCGTGCAGTTTCTAGGAATAGTTACGTGGGAAGTGCCTCACTCAGTTCGTGCCACCTGCTTTCCAGTCGGCCTGAAGGAACTTGTGGTTGTTTACTCGCGGGAGAGGAGTTAGCCACGCTAGCTAACCCAGGCTCCACCGAGGGCAGAGCTGTTGAATCTGAGCCAGGAGATTGTTTCCTGTGGGTGAGGTCTCAGCTGTGCTCTGTAGATATTTAGTGGCCTCTTTGGACTCCCTCGAGATCATTCCCAAGTTGTGACGCCAGAAATATTTCTAGACGGTGGGGACAAAGTCACACCAGCCTGGAGCCATTGAGGTAAGACAAGGCTCGCAAGAATGGAGTCATATGTTCAGCAGTTAAAACGGAAAACCCATTAGCTATGAGGATACTAGCAAAAAAAAAAAAATTAGAAAAACCTATTATGAGTTGGGAGAGTTTCTTGCCTTCCAGAAAAATAGAAGAGTGTGCTGTCACAGCCTTCTGTGGCTTCAAGGAAGTATGTTAGATGAGTGAGCTTAGCCAGTACTTGGCGCGCTGGGAGAGGAGAAAGTTAAATCAGACTGAAAAAACACAGCACAGTCCTTCAGACAGCCAAATGATGGTCTCTTGTGGTAGTTCCCCTCTTGTCTCTCCCCTTTCCTGAGATTTCAAAGCAAAATAAATCCCCAAATCTGGAGGAAAAAGGAACAAACAAAACCAACAAAAAACTCCACCTGCAGGAAGTTTACTGGGCAGAGAATTGCATGCTTAGCTGGCTGCAGCGTGGTGTTTATCTCTCCTGCTGCCTTGGCTGAAAGAAACCTGCTGTCGGTGTCTGTTGGGTGAGGAGGCATTGCCCAGTTACCCTGCCTTCGTTGTTGTTGGAGTCATAATCTATCCTGTGCACAGGCCACAGCTGGAGGCTGCTGTTTCCAAGTTCAAAGGTCTCCGGGCAGATCTGCTGAGCCCTGCTTTTCCTTTCAACTCAGTAAGCAGAAGTGGGTTGTATGAACAACCACTCTTCACACACCAGTTCTTTTTTAAGCCTGAAGGGAAGGACGCGTCCTTTGAAGAGGACTCTGATTTCCAAGTTGTAAAAAAAAAAAAAATGTGCAGGTCCCCTTTTCCTTATCAAACATCCCCCTCGAGGAGGTGCGTACAAGAACAATGCGTGTTGGCCGCCAGCAAAGCCAGGGTGATCTTACGTGTTCCCAAGGGGGCACTTGACAAAGCCAAAGTGGAAGTTGTTCACAAACATAAGAGAAACCGGGGCAAGCTTGGAGAGCCGGACACACTCACTTTTTATTCCTGTCGTCTGAGGACAGGACCTGGGCACTTAGAAGGCACTGTGGGTGGTGTAATGGCTAGGGGTGTGGGCAAGGCAAAGTTTCTGGCTGTGGGTTCTCAGGCAGGTTACCTAATGTCTCTGTCCCTATCTGATGTGTAGGGCTATTCTTGAGATTTCGGTCACCTAGTTGTAAATCGCTAGTAGGGTCTCTGGCATAGTTTGAGTGTTCTTTGAAGGTGAACTGCTATTATTATTATCGTTATAAATTGTGTTCCCTTTAAGACCTTTACAAAGCACAGAGATAAGTGCAAAGTCGGGTAGTTTTGATCACGCTAGCCCCATTCTTTCCCCTCCAGAGATGGTTACCTCTGTGTTTGTTCTTACAGGAACCTTCCCTGTTATTGTATTTTATATGTTTGTTATCATTATTTTAAAATTGGATGTGCATAAGTGTTTTACCTGTGCACACATGTGTGTGCACCCCATGTGTGCCTGGTGCCCAAGGAGGCCAGAAGAGGGTGTTGGATCCCCTGAAACCGGAGTGAAAGATGGTTGTGAGCCACCATGTAGGTTCTGGGAACCAAAAGAAGGGGTCCTCTACAAGAACAGCGAGCGCTCTTCACGGCTGAGCCATCTCTCCAGCCCCGCTAGGCCTCCTTTTTTGAGACATGGTCTGTTCATGTAGTTCTGGCGGCCTGAACTCAGTGTAGACCATTGGGCTCAAGCTCACAGATACCTGTCTGCCTCTGCCTCCCAAGTGCTGGGATTAAAGGCGTGTGCCACTACTGCCCATACACTCCCTCCCTCTCTCTCTCTCTCTCTCTCTTTTTAAAAGATTTATTTATTATGTATACAGTGTTCTTTTGTCCAGAAGAGGGCGCCAGATCTCATTACGGATGGTTGTGAGCCACCATGTGGTTGCTGGGAATTGAACTCAGGACCTCTGGAAGAGCAGCCAGTGCTCTTAACCTCTAAGCCGTCTCTCCAGCCCACACTCTCTCTTTTAAGGTAGACTCTTGCTGAATAGTCCAACCTGGCCTTGAACTCTGTTATTTATCCTCCTGCCTCAGCCTCCCAGGTGTTGGAATCACAGCATGTGTTGCGATTCCTAGCTCTTTTTAAGGTGACGTGGGCTGTGGCTTAGCGGGCACAGTGGTGCCTAGCATGCACACAGCCCTGGGTTCAGTCCCCAGTCCCTCTAAACCGTCTGTGGTACACATTTGTATTCCCACTGGAGGCAGGGGGACCAGAAACTCAAAGTCATCCTCCGCTTTGTAGTAACTTTGCAACCCACGTTGGCTACATGAGACTCTGTCAAAAAAAAAAAAAAAAAAAAAAACCAGCAATTTTTATGCTGTAAGTTCCTATGACAGAAGAGAAAATTCAGTGGTTTTTAGCCTGGCCTCTGGTCGCACAGCCGTTGCCGCTCCCTGACTCTAGAACACATTCATCAGTAATGATTATGTCTTAATCATTACCTTTCTTTTTTTTTTTCCCTCCTCCAAACCCTAGAAGATGCCTCTGATGGAGCAGGCTTTGAGAAGCACCTCTGGCCCCGTGGCTTTGACTAGGAGCTCAAGCTGGAGACCGTCTCAAGCCCTGGCCATCGCACCCTGAGGACCACGGGACAGCGGACCATGGCCGTGAGCTTAGATGATGACGTGCCGCTCATCCTGACCTTGGAGGAGGGTGACAGTGCCCCGCTGGCTCCTTCTAACGGCCTGGGCCAAGAGGGGCTGCCCAACAAAAGTAAGCTGACGGGCAGGTGGGTGGGCGGGGCTCACAGCATCTCCGCTCAGGGAGGAAGAAGAGCCCTGGACACCCATCGCAGGTGTGGCACGGACTTTGCTCTTAGGAGACCGTGGGTGTGAGCCCAGCCTTGCAGTGCTTCTGGGGTCCAGTGTCCCCCCCCCCAGGAGCCCCTACTCCGTACACACTTACTTAGCTTTGTCCCTGCTGCTAGGGGACCTCGGGCAAGCCTCGCTTCCCTGCCTCATTCCTTGTGAATGAAAACATAACCTGTGGGTCCCCACCTGAGTGGTGGGAGGGGAGCCGAGCTTCTCTGCCATGGATCTGCCGTCTCAGAACGGGGTGGAGGGCGAGCCTTGTGGTGTATTATTGATCAAGGCTTTGGGGTTTCTTTCTGGGAATCGAAACCCGGTACAAAGTAACCCCGAGAGAGGGGATGCGCCGTCCGGTGTTGCCGACTCTTAAGTGTCTTTCTGGCAGAGGGAGAGGCCTTAAAACCCTTCCTGGTCCTCATCCCGAAACCATCGCTCGGTCCACTCAGGACAAGGGCTCAGGAGAGGCTTAAAATAACTTGTCTTAGCAGAGGGTCCCCTCAGGCAGGGAGCAAGGCTTCAGGGCTCCGCAGTGAGTGCAGACGGCCCGCCAGGGTGGAGGATCAAGGGCTACCACACTCACACCCACAGGGGAGGACATCGGGGACCAGGAGGCATGGAGCCTGGCACCCCCATCTCCTTTGTCCAGAGAGAATACAGTTGGGCTTTGGGGATCTAGTAGCTCACTGGGGTGGACTGAAGAAGAGCAAACCACCCTGTCACCTCCTCATGCTCACCACCACTGTCCCGAGCAACCTGATTTTCCCACTAAGGGCCATGCAGGCCTACAAAACCC